ATATATTTCTTCACTGACACATAATTGTATACGTATTTATATAAAAATAAATACACAAATATGGCCAGGGGTATCATGAACCAGTATAAAATAAACGCCAAGCCACTTGTATTTTAGTTCGTTAGTCCCAGAATCAGAGAGACTCGTCAATCTTATTACAGGTAGGAATCGTTTGCGATCATAAATTTCTTTAAAGAATACGTGCTCTTAAAGTTAGAGATTTCTTTGGTGAACTTTTTTTTTCAATATTCTTGTGAGTTCTTTTTTATTTTAATATCATAATATCATAGAATGTCTAATTGTTTTAAAGAATTTATATTCATTTGTATTTGTGATAATTAATATTAAACAAAGATTAATTCGCTACTAACTTCATGTCTAAGATATAGCTTGGGAACAAGATATTTAAGTAATAAAAATCATGTTTATTAATCTATTCCAAACTAGTATTTTATTTTAATCTGAGTCAAATATATTTCTTCAAAACGATTGTTGCATTAATCGCAACTATTTTATACTCTTTGATTTAGTGCAGATTTAATTATATGTACCATATTCTAAATGCAGAAACTACACAAATATATGAAGTTGGTAAACTCGAAGGCAAATATATTATGCATTTTATGTATTTGTCAATATAAATGCTTTATAAGGTGTATCTTTAGAATTTAGCATTTTATATATATATATATATATATATATATATATATATATATATATATATATATATATATATATATATATATATATATATATATATATATATATATATATCAATTATATAAATAAAGTTTGTTAGTTCCATAATCAGAAAAAACTTGTCTTACAGGATCCCGTGTATCTCTTGCATTGCCAGAGCTTCCCCATATGTAGCCGTATCTATACTATTATCAGTGACACCTCTTTCTTAAGAGTCTGAACTCTTTCTTCTTTCTATCTTTCCTTCTGACCATGGAATAAAGAATTGCTAAGAGATTATGAGAAAGAACCAAATCTCATAACAATGTTACAGCTGAGATCTTTCATTTGTTAAAAGTTTGCAATTTATACTACCATTCCTGCCCCAATTTCAAAGCGTGTAGTGGAGAGTCCAAATTCCAAGTTTCACATGTAAGGGATCGAGTCTGGATTTTCGCATACACATACATACATACATACATACATACATACATACATACATACATACATACATACATACATACATACATACATACATACATACATACATACATACATACATACATACATACATACATACATACATACATACAGGTCAAATGATTTATATATCTAACGATATTCTCCCTATCCTTTTGTATGTGGCACCTGTAGTGTAATTCCCAATCTGGTAATAACCCCACCTTAAAGTACATTGTGTACAAACACTAGTTCGGTATGACAAGAAGATCTAACTTTCATGGTTAGCACAGGTTCCTGGATATGCCCTAAATCTATGGGATCCAGCCTCTGAGCTACAACTTGAAAACCACTTAAATACTATGTTACCCATATGCGCTACAATGATGAAAACGACATGTCACTTAAGAAGCTGGCATTTGCCTGCTGTTCTCACCCTGGGGATTGACTCTTGCTCATTATTAGAAAACTGTTCAAAACGCAAACCCTATAAAATATATTCTTTTTGGCATCAACAGGGAATTAAGTTTGTAAACAATAAAAATGTGACAAGCTGAGGCCAAAAATGGAGACAATGTTCTGTGAAAACCCTTATTGATACATCGCCATATTAATTTTGAATTAGCATATTCTAATAGTACAATAGCAGCTTTACCACAAATGATACATGACAACCCACTATTTTTAATAGTATTATGTGTATATATCCAATATTTTGAGCAGAAACCATTTTCTTACTTCAATTGCAGTGACCGAGACCTTTGACCTATTAACGGCCAAATCAATAGGTTTCCTCCTTACCCCAAGCGCCATCCACGATTTTAATCCAGGCACGTGATGCAGCACTAATGTGATTGAGCAGAAACCATTTTTCTTGTAATATTTAGTGGCAATGACATTTGACCTCAAAATTAATAGTGTTTCCTTAACCCAAGTGCAAATCATCCACACTGTTTGGTTGCTGTGTGTGATGAAGAACTAATGTCGAGAGTGATGCCAATTTTCTTTTCAGTCACAGCGGTCTTGACTTTTCATCCCCATCAGCAGGGTTCTTCTGCAGGTCATGCTACAAGCTATTCATGAAGTTTGGTAATGGGAGATATTGAAGAACTGGAGTTGTTGTCCAGAAACTCTCTCTCTTTAGTCACAGAGACCCTAACCTTTCAGCCTGAAACTGATAAGTTACTTTCATACCCCTAGTGCAAACGATCAAACTGATAGAAGATAACAAAAAATAGGCATCATAACATAATACACTGACTTAAGGTGGAACACAAAAGAAGACCATATCGTACATAAAGAAACAAAAAATTACACATGTCCAGTATAATTTTCAAAACATACCAAAATATTATCTGATTTTAATATTATGGGTAACATATGAAATATTTACAGTTAAACAAATCAATAATTATGAAAACTATTCCAGGAAAATGGCAATGTATTTAGATACAACTCAACAGCCAGTGCATTCTCTCAAAGATGTCATTGTGAAAAATGGAGAAAAGCACCATCTCAAGCTTTGCCCATTCATCAAGCCAGACGATTAACATGTAATTGACATAAAATGCCACAAGTGGTGGTGGGTAATGTATGTCACAAGTGTTTGCCACCAATTTTCATCTAAGCCAAGTGCAGCTGATCAACTTTTAGTTGAGGCTGAATTAATGTCTGATGTTAGGGTATATTGGCAAACTTATATGGCGTAATATTTCACACCAAAAAGCACAATATACCTGGACTACTCTTTTTAATCAACTCTGAAAGGCATTTGATTCAGTAGAATGGTCATTTTTTTTATAAAGTCATAAACTTTTTCAGTTCTGAACCACCAACAAGACATTGGATAAATCTTTTCTATCGGAACATCACAATCTTGTGTAGCTATCAATAGTTTCCAGTTGGTTTGATACTGAAAGAGATTTAGATCGAGTAAACCTCTCTCACTATACATTTTTATCATCTGTGAGGAGAATTTAGTTCATATGATAAAAATATTATTTTTTGGAATAAATGTAGGTGACATAACATACGTTCTTTCTGCATATGACGATAATATGTCACTTAAACCTGATGGTTCAGAAACATCTGTTTGCTTTACATCTTTTATATCAATATTCATAATTGTCTGGTCTTGGTATAAATGTTATGAGGTAAAATTTAAATATAAATAAGAACATTAGAAGTCTCCCTAAAGTGTATTAAAACTAATTCTCCTTTGGACTCATTTTCATTAAATTATATTAGGAGTAATTTCGATTAAAATATATGTCGATTAACTTTATGTGACAGAAATATATTCTGTCTTGATAAAGATCGTTTCCTTGCAACTTTTGCAAGTCTCATTATTGTATGTGTAAATTTACTTAACAAATACTCTTTGCGAACAGGTGAAAAAAGTCTGCACTATACTGATACAAGTTTCCGCATTATACATGTATAAAACACGCCAAGCAAAACACAGAAGCCTCTCCATATTATATATGTATATTCTAAATTCGGCTAACAAGACTTTTCACTGATGAAGAATTCTTCAGACCTACTGTCTGACCTCTAACTTGATCATAACACGAAGTCAAAAGTAATAAAAAAGAACACGTGGTTCTATGACAACAAGACTGAACTTTCTAGTTTGAAGCACGCCATTTACACATGAATGCCAGTATAGCACCCTCAGAGCATTACTCTCAAGGCATTACCAAAAAAGGTTAGAGGTGCCTTGAACTAACTATATAGAACAGCCCCCAAACGCTGGCTCTCACTTTATGTTGCTTCAAGACTAGAGAGGTTCATCTTGTGTTTTACAGGTAAGACTTTGTTATGTTCTAAACTGTCTTATAGAATAAGTACCTTTGGAAGTTCAAGATTTATGATTGTAATTTTCCTATTTCTAATGTTTATATGAGTTCGTCTTTTTAATTCTAATACTATGATATAATGAATGTTTAATTGTTTTAAGAACTTATATTTGTATTTATGATAATAGTTAAAAGATTAAAATGCTTACCGACTTCATGTTTAGATTTATTTTGGAAATTTAAATATTCTGTAAGGGTTAAAGAATAATGTTTTGTTGTCTATTCTAAACTAGTATTTTATCCCAAATTGAGTAATATATATTTCTTCAAAATGATTTTTGCAATAATCACAAATATTTTATAATCTTTAATTAAGTCAAGATTTATCATCTATAACATATTCTAAAATGCGAAAGGCTACGAATACACGAAGTTGGTAAACTTGAAAGGAAAAGTATTATATGCATTTTGTGTATTGTTCAATGTAAAGGTCTTTCTGCCTTTGGAATGTAGTACCGTATATTACCTATATGAAGTATATGAATAAACTGAATTATGTTGCTTCAAGACTAGAGAGATTCATCTTGTGTTTTACAGGTCCTCGGTACTCTCGCTAGCCAAGCAATTTCCCCAAAAGGATATAGCCGTGTCTACACCATTATGCGTGACACCTTATCTTTGAGAGAGTCCGAACCCTCACTTCTTCTCTCTATCTTTCCGTTCGATCATGGAAAAGAACATTGCTAAGTGTTTATGAAAGGGATTCTTAACAGCATAACAAAGAACCATTTCGTAAAATAAATATTGAGTAAAACAAAACAAAGGTAGTTTGGATTGTAAATAGTGTGTGTGTGTGTGTGTGTGTGTGTGATTTGGAATTTTTACGTGGCTTTAAAACTTTGTCAGTCATATCGTTACAACGTTTGTATTGTGGCAGTTTATAGTGATGTCTAGCTTGGGCATCGTGCCACAGACATGCAGTATGAGTATCCCGATACCCGTCCTAACAATAACCTCTTAAAGATGAGGGCCTATCGAGGCAGCTGTTAGTACCATTTTTATAGATCTCTGGTATGACTCGGCGGGGGTTCAAATCCGCGACCTCCTGCATCCGAGGCAGACGCTCTAACCACTTAGGCAATCGGAGTAACTGGATTGGAAATAAAACTGACGATAATTTGTAATATTGTCTGGAATATAAACTTAATTGGGGATATACTGAGTTTGTTGTCTTAGGTTTTAAGTTTTGAACTAATTTGGAAAAAAACTACCTTTCTTACTTACCCATCTAAAACTTAAGAAATTAAGAACCTGCCAATTTAATCGAATAACGGGTTTTAACTCCATAGGGAAAGATAGCATTAATATGAAGTTTAGCTATTTCTAGAATTAATTATCTTTCATTGTCATTATCAAACCAATCTATATAGTTTATGACTTAGTTGAGCCAAATACATTCTTTCACAAGTTTTATGGCATAGGTCAAAGGACTGAATTAAAATTAATCGAAAATCGTTGTTTAGGATTATTATGAGCGGGGATTAAATATGGTTAATATCTTTAATTCGTAAAAGATTTTATTATCTTAATAAAAAAGGATCTCAATCATTTATGTGACTAGATCATTGCAAATGGTCACATCAAACTATTTTTAGAAACACAGATAATGGTTAAATCCGTATATTACAATAGATGGAAAGTTTTTATTATAACTATGATTTCACAAAGTCATTAGATTTGTGAATTTTTTTGTCAGTTAGGATTGTTCTTGCTTAAATTTTGATAATTTAAGATTTTTTTCGCGTTAATCTAATCGATTTTTAAAGCATACACACAGTGAGTCATGCAATAGTAAAATCAGAGTCAATCATTTCTCCAACTTACATCAACCTTCTTAAAAAATTATAGATTTTCACAGCATACTAACAGACATAAAGTCATGCACAAGTAAATTCAAAACCAATTATAACTCCGATTTGCCTCAGCCTTCTAAAACACTGGGTATAATATTATTATAAATGAAAAAGCATGTAGAGTTTATATAAAAAATTGATTAGAAACAATTAACTACTAAATTCTAGCAGGAAGTGGAATTCTGCTTTTGGTGAGTTTGAATAAAAAGATTGGCAGTCATGTATCTTTATTACCATACACATTTACAAAATATCCAAACCTTAGATGGTTGCATTTAAAATATTACACAGAATTTTGGCTATGAACATACTTCTCAAAAGCATCACCATTATTCAAAATGAGTTCTGTTCTTTTTGTTTGTTACATGCAGAAACAATATCTCGTACATTTTGGGACTTGTCAGGTAACAAAGGTTTTTAAATGTCACAGTCCAACAAATATAAAAGTAAAGTGTTGTTACAAATATAATTTGGTTTTGAAGAAAGCATTAGAATATTATCTTTGGAGTTAAAGACAGCACTCAGACTGTTGATATAATGAACTTTATAATTCTATATGCCAAACAGTATACACTGTGTATCAATGCAGATTTAACAGAGACAATCTAATTCTTTTTCAGTCCAAGAAAAAGAGTTGCTTTTAATTTCATTTTGGGAAAATGTCATGTGTATAGAAGCTAATTTAAGGAGGGTTGAAATCAGACAAAAGGTGGTCATTGTAAAGCAATTAATTTTTATAGATAGATGCATGTTATTCAGGTCTTATAGTCTCATATCTATGGTACGAAATTCAGTGATATTTTCTACATCAGAATGAATATGGGCTGGAGTAACATGCCATGCCATGTTTATGCGTTTTCTACATAGCTGGTCAAATAATAAAACGCATGCATATAATTCTTTGATGCACTGATGTGAGAGAAACTTTGCCTAGATATCCTCTCTTTTAGCTATGGTTTCCTCCCATCTTTTTAACCAATGAAGGACTCTGAAGTTTTCATGTAGCCTCATGTCATTTGCCTGAAATACGGGTCTTTGATCATGAAAATTTCTTATCAAATTGGATGTGTGCCTCAATAGGTCTATTGCCCCTGAGAGTGAGGCTCCATTCAGTCCCAAGGAAGCTTGAAACTGAGTAAATAGGTTCAACATGTCATCATTTAGTACTTTTTCAGCCAGATGATTTCTCATCTTTTTCATGTCATTTGGATATGTGTGTACTGGCGCTAAGTCTCTGTGGAGTTGCAGAGGTTTTGTCATATCCCAGTTAAAGGCATCAACCCACATCTGCCATTGAATGTTGCTCATATCAGGCAGTATAAGATTTATAGTGCAGCCTTGTTTGATCCCACTTTTCATAATATCATTTCGTATTTTCTTGATGATATCTGAGTAATCCATAGTGAATAAAAAATGTTTGATCAGGCATTACCAGGCTTGTCACATTCAAGTTTGTTGATCTCGTATTAATTCCATGCATATGCATAAGTGAGCGATTTGATTGGGCAGCATCCATGTTCACATAAGAAGTAGTAAATCCATTGACAGAGAGTTTGTATACTGCTTCCCAAAACATTGTATATAGTTCTGATGTGTGAAAATGGAAATCGAAAACCCGTAAGCCCCAGGAACACCATCTGCGGTGCGTAATTTGGTGACATTGACTTCATCTCCATAACTTGAAAACCCCACAAGTTCGATGATATCGCCAGTTTTGGCAATCTTCTTGAATGGACATTTCATCAAAAGTGATACCACCTGTCAAGACTCAACAGAAACATTTAATCTCTTTGTTTCTGAATACATCAGTTAAAAATATCATCTTGAAAGCCAACATGATGATGTACGTTGTTCTTGTAAAGAACTACAGTACTTAGAGAGGGTAATAAAAGAATATTACTGTCTTTTAGGCTTGAAGACTTTTTGTGTATACAGATGTAAACAAACTGAAATTACATTCTGACTCCATCGATGACCTCCTAAATCCTTGACAACACTATTTTCTGCTAGACATAACAGTAAGTATAACATTTTGGGGGGGAGGGTCATTTGGAATAACATTCTTATATTCTTCCGAAGTTACTTTTTTTTACGACATCCTCGGAGTGCCATGTTATCTTCATTCTGTTCCTCAATATCTTCCATTTTCCTACTTTCTGCGAC